GCTGGGAGCTGGGAGCTGGAGGCTGGGAGCTGGGAGCTGGGAGCTGGAGGCTGGGAGCTGGGAGCTGGAGGCTGGGAGCTGGCAGCTGGGAGCTGGAGGCTGGGAGCTGGAAGCTGGGAGCTGGGAGTTGGGAGCTGGGAGATGGAGGCTGGGAGCTGGGAGCTGGGAGCTGGAGGCTGGGAGCTGGGAGCTGGAGGTTGGGAGCTGGGAGTTGGAAGCTGGGAGCTGGAGGCTGGGAGCTGGGAGCTGGGAGCTGGGAGCTGGGAGCTGGGCAGATGACCTATGCAGACCTGCTAAGCACTGCTCGGAGGCACAGTACCCAGGGCCTGCTTGCTGATCCCAGCTGGGCCCAGGCAGGTGCATGGAGGGGTGAAGCCAGCCTTCCCAGGGAGTGCACAGCAGGGGTAGGGAGCAGGGCCTTGGGGAGCCCTAGAGAGCAAGGCATTGTGGCCATGATGAGTGCTGTGGTCTGGATATGGTTTGCTAGGAGCTCAGCTGGGGCTGGCAGCCTCAGTTTCTCTTCACATGGGCCTCTCTGTGGGGTAGCTTTGGGATAATTTATTACCCAAATAATGTGGCTCAGGGCTTCAAAGGCACATGTGCCAAGAGAGAGAAACATCCAGAAGCTGCATGGCCTTGTCCAACCATGAGGATGAGATTACCTGACATGGTTTATGGTGGACTCCATCAGCCAAGAAGGTCATAGAGGCCTGCCCAGGTTCCAGATGAAGGGACACTGACTTGACCCCTCGATAGAGGCATGCCAGTGTCACTTGTATAAGAGAAAGTGGGATGGGAGATACTGTGGTGGCTGTTCTTAGAAAATGCCGTCTGCCACAGGCTGTATGGGTTCCAGTCCTGGCCGCCAGCAAAGCGAGCGTTTCTAATCAGAGTGTGTGCCTGTGTGGATGGGGTTCACGGTATCATTTCCCTAAAATTCCGTTCCCTAAAATTGCTTGCTGCTTAGCAGGGTATTTTTCTCTGAGTCTATGTCTTTCTTCAGACTCTCAAAGAGGCTTGAGGTCCTGGAAAGATTAACGCCTATACAAGCAGGGTGTCAACTCACATTTCTTGAATTGAAGCCACTGCGTTGTGGCCCACTAAAAGGATTTTCATTTTCAGCTTTATGGCGAATTGTAGCTTCGCTGGAGGAATTGGAAGCATTCTCGGTGTTTTGCAGGAGAGCTGCTGTTTTGACATCTGCAACAGCGCAGTCACGTAGGCAGCCTCAGGCTCCAACTGGGGATGCAGATGGTCCAGCCTGGGGAAAGAGTAGGCAGGGGCGGGGCCGGGGTGCAGGGAAGCTCGGTCAGAGGCTGCTGCTGGAAGAGTGAACCCAGTGCAGAGTTGGGTCGACGGGCACAGGCAGGGCGCAGGGGGCTGGCTAATCCTGCCAATGTCCTTTAATAGTGCCAGGTGCTAGGATAGCTATTCCCCACTGTCAGCTCCCCTGGGCTCTCAAGGACTGCCTTTGGCAGTGCCAGTGTATTTTTAGCCCTCCAGCAAATGGATAAAGTGCTCGGAGAGGCACTGTTTCCCTCTCAGCTGTAGGCAACGCTTGGCACCTTTCCGAGACTAGGCGGCGCAAGGACCCCTCCAGCCACAGAGGGAATGTGGGTCCGGCTCCCACCTCCCTCCCAGGCCTCCCGCAGGGTCCTGGGAGAGGGACGTAGTCATCTGTTGGACAGGGGCCAGGAATGTGAGCCCCTGGTTGTTTGGGGGAGAGCGAGTGGGCTAGCCTTTCCCTAGCAGAGGACCCAGCACAGGGCAGCAGGCTCCCCTGGAGGGAGCTCTCCAGCTGCTCACCCTGAGGAAAAATGATGTGTCCCAGGACCACCTGCAGTTAGGTGGGCAAGGCAGGGCGTGCTAGGCCAGGGGGCTAGGCGGATGGGTGAGCCCCTGACCATGCCAGAAAAGCCCCATCCCTGAAGGCTGCTGTGAGGGGAGGCAGGGTTGAGAGTGGCAAGAAGCCACTTCCTGACGACCCAGTGGTAAACACTCCAGGTCAGCCTTGAGCATTGATCTGCCAAATATTTGCTTGGGTCCCTGACCTAGCATACTTCCTGCCCTCACCTCCTCCCCAGCTGCAACCCAGCTGCCCTACCCCTTGATCCTGGAGGGGTGGACATCATTTCCCAAAGAGGCCCCTTCCAGGCACAGTCCCCTGTCATGTGGCGTGGGCTGTGGGTGAGGGTGGATGGGCTGGGGGCTGGGACGGGCATCCTCACGGGCCCTTTGTTTGAAGTGGCCACCTCAGTGAAGCTGGTCGGAAGTGGTCAAGGTTCACACAGCTGCCCACGTAGAACCAAACTCCACAAGGGCCAGGCTGCCAGGGCTCCCTCCCCAACAGCTGTTCCACCACCCAAGCCTGGGAAAAAGAGAGGCCCTGCTTCTCCCAGAAAGCAGGAGGAGGCCAAGAGGTCTCTGGCCCGGAGATGCTCTCTCTGTTTAATCACACACACATATACACATACACACACACCCCACTTTCTCTGAGTGCCCGCCCTGGGCTGTCCACCATGCTAAGTTCTGCACAGACGGTATCCCCTGCATCATTGTGACTCTGTGGGTTACTTTGCTCCATTTTACTGAGTTGGAAACCAGGATTCAGAAAGGTTGGGCAACCTGTCCGAGCTCACACAGCTGAGACTTGGGGAGCTGCTGGGTGTCAGATCCGGGGCTGCCGGATGGCCTGTTGCACCCAAGAAGGGAGGGCAGGACAAGAAGATTCTGGGACAAGAGGAGATGTGAGGGGCTGATCAGGGGCAGAGCCTCTGTGCCTGCAGAGCACCGACCATTCACAATCATTTCCCGAGATAGCTTATAGGAAGAGAATAAAACCAACTTGCTTAAGTCATGGTTGTTTGGGACTTTCTGTCACTTGAAGCCAAAGTGGTACTAAATAAAACACCTGCAGTGTGAGCTCCTCCCACCAGGCTGGCTGCCTGCTCTCTGAAGGCTCCACTGCCTGTGCCTGGCTGTTCCTGCAGGCTCCTCTGCCTGTGCCTGGCTGTTCCTGCAGGCTCCTCTGCCTGTGCCTGGCTGTTCCTGCAGGCTCCTCTGCCTGTGCCTGGCTGTTCCTGCAGGCTCCTCTGCCTGTGCCTGGCTCTTCCTGCAGGCTCCTCTGCCTGTGCCTGGCTCTTCCTGCAGGCTCCTCTGCCTGTGCCTGGCTCTTCCTGCAGGCTCCTCTGCCTGTGCCTGGCTGTTCCTGCAGGCTCCTCTGCCTGTGCCTGGCTGTTCCTGCAGGCTCCTCTGCCTGTGCCTGGCTGTTCCTGCAGGCTCCTCTGCCTGTGCCTGGCTGTTCCTGCAGGCTCCTCTGCCTGTGCCTGGCTGTTCCTGCAGGCTCCTCTGCCTGTGCCTGGCTGTTCCTGCAGGCTCCTCTGCCTGTGCCTGGCTGTTCCTGCAGGCTCCTCTGCCTGTGCCTGGCTGTTTCTGCAGGCTCCGCTGCCTGTGCCTGGCTCTTCCTGCAGGCTCCTCTGCCTGTGCCTGGCTGTTCCTGCAGGCTCCTCTGCCTGTGCCTGCCTGCTCTCTGAAGGCTCCACTGCCTGTGCCTGGCTGTTCCTGCAGGCTCCTCTGCCTGTGCCTGGCTGTTCCTGCAGGCTCCTCTGCCTGTGCCTGGCTGTTCCTGCAGGCTCCTCTGCCTGTGCCTGGCTGTTCCTGCAGGCTCCTCTGCCTGTGCCTGGCTGTTCCTGCAGGCTCCTCTGCCTGTGCCTGGCTCTTCCTGCAAGCTCCAGGCTTCCCTCTGGCTGTGGCTATCTCTGTACTTCCTTCAAGGCCCAGCTGAAAAGACTGCCTCCTCCATGATGCCTTATGTCATTTCTGAGTGCCAAAAATGATGAGTTCCTTTTCCTGCTGCCCCCAGTCTCATTTTATTTCTTGTATTGAAATCATCAGGCCTGATTGGGATGTGATAATCGCTCATTGTGTATCTGTCATACTCTTCGGGATAGAAGAGACAGTATTTTCTTCTGCTTAATGGCAGTGGTGTGTGAGTAAAGCAGCTCTCTGGGGGAGAAAGCGCCCTGATTTACAGTGCTAGCCAATTCCCATGGTGTAAATGCTCCCACCGTGGTTAGTTTCAAGCTATGATGGTTTAACAACTGGCTCACAAAATTCCTGAGCATTTAACAGTTGTTTCTCATGAGCCCGTGCTAGCAGGCTCCAACTTGCTACTGCTTAGGGTCTGCCCACTGCTGAGGCTTAAGGCTTGCACTTAGTAGGTATACAACAGGCTGGTGCCACAAACTCTTAATTGGATGGACTATTTGATTCAACTCTTTTTTTTAACTGAAACCCTTACTTTGTTCCTAGAAGACTTTCGTGGATATAGGGGAAGATCATTTGCAACACGGTGATAATCTTGCTCCCTCCCGAGATCTATTGCCCTTTGCAATGTGACTTTGCAGCTTCCAGTCCTTGAATCAGGGACAGCCTTTTGACTTAACTTAGCCATTGGAATATGTTGGGAGTAACTTTATGATAGTTTAAGCCTGGGCCTCAAGAGGCCCTGAGTACTGCTGCTGTTGTCTTAGAAGCCCGTTGGTTACCACGGATAAAGCCCAGGCTACTACTGTGCCTAAAAATTAGGCTATGCCTCTGAGGATGAGAGACCATGTGGAGCAGAGTCGTAGGGTCTCAGCTGAGCCAACCCAGATCAGACAGCCCCAGCAAACCCAGCAGCTGGCCAAAGACATGCAAATGAGCCCAGCTGCATACAACCCAAATGGCTACCATGAGGACTCATGAGCTAAATAAATAATAGTTGTTTTAACCCCTAAATTTTGGAGTAGTTTATTATGCAGCAAAAGCTGATGCACCGTCTTTGCATTCAGAAGTAGCTTAGCTTTTGATTGGAATGTCCATCTCTACCTGAGTGAGATAGAGAGATAGCCTCCTGTTCCCCACTATCCATCAACCAAGAGCAAGAAGACCAAGTGTCAGCACTTGACCCTCCCAGTGCATAAGTTCCAGTAGAGTCTTACATGTTCCCCTAAACACAGCCTACAGGAACCCGGAAAATGTGGACGCTCTGGCTATCTGATGTAAGAGTTGGACAGGAGGCATGGCATCTGTCTACATACTGGAGTTCAGGTGAGCTCTCCTCGCTTTTGACTTTGCCTGTGCCATGAAGACATGCAGCTGGAGCTGCTCTTTTCCTGTTAATGAAGGCCTAACTGCCTTTTGTGGGAAATGTCCACACACACATTTCCCACAGAATAAGACAGACAAATTTCCCACAGAAATGGGAAACTCACAAATTCTTCCTTTTTCTGCCCCATAGAATTATTATTGTTACTGTTTTTTTTTTGTTTTGTTTTGTTTTTGATAGGACAAGAGGATCCTAATGTTTTTGGGGGGAGGCCAGAGAGAAAGAGCCATGTCTTAAAGCAAACAATAAATTTCTACTTTCAGTTCAAGGGTAAAATCTGGCCTGTAATCTGTGAAGGAGTGTGTGATAAACCAAATGAAACCAACCTGCCCTCCAGGTCTGAACTGTAGAAACTCTGTGGTAACAAGGCATTCTAGGAAAGGAGAGAGGAAGTGGGCCTTGAAACTGATTTGCAACTGTGCGGGATGGTGGTGTGTGGTTCACCTCTACCCAGCTGTGTGACCTTGGGCCAGTCTCCCGCCCCTACTGGGACTGCGTATCACATGGGGCTGGACTGCAGAGCCCCACTCTCTTCAGTATACAGTATTTTGATGTCAGAGAGCTGGAGAGGCTCCTGGCGTTTGACTGTTTATCCTTGGAGGTATGTATGACCACATGCCATTGGCATACAATGTACCCATTGTGATGACAGGGAAGTAGTGTTGTGCCTTCCCCAGGTTATATTTGGCCTTGGACCATGGTCAGAACACACACACACAACATTATACACTTCATCACTGAGCAACTCAGTGTCTCTTACTGACAAGCTGTGTGATCCTAGGCCGGTTACTCCACCTCTCTGATTTTCCATTTCTTTATTTCTTTTTCTTTTCTTTTCTTTTCCTTTCCTTTCCTTTCCTTTTCTTTCTTTCTTTCTTTTCTCTGTCTCTCTCTCTTTCTTTCTTCCTTTCTTTCCTTCTTTCTTCTTTCTTTCTTTCTTTCATTTCCAGGGTCTGTCTTTCTTTCCTTTTTGAAACGGTCTAGCCAGGCTGGAGTGCAGTGGCATGATCTCAGCTCATTGCATACTCTACTTCCCAGGCTCAAGTGACTCTCCCACCTCAGCCTCCAGAGTAGCTGGGATTACAGGTATGCACCACCATATTTGGGTAATTTTTCAAATTATTTGTAGAAATGGGGTTTCCCCATGTTGCCCAGACTGGTCTTGAACTCCTGGGCTCAAGAGATCCTCTTCCCTTGGCCTCCCAAAGTGCTTGGATTACAAGCATAAGCCACCACATCCAGCCTGATCTTCCATTTCTTCCTTGAAAATGTCATGTCATGTGAAACTTTTAGGATGCTGAATTGCAAGAAATATTGAATAAAAACATATATAATGATACTGAACGATTTAATACATAGAACTTACACAGGAGCTTACTTTTTCCTATTCACTTACAGGAAGTCGCATTGACCGGAAGGTCTGATCTGGCCTCCAGCAGCCGCGCAGGCTCAGACCTCCTGGGATGTTCTCATTGTTCGGTTTCAGGACTTTTTGTTCAGTCGTATGTGGACACCTGGAGCACTTTTTTTTTTTTTTGCTCTAATAATTATTACTAGGTTTTATGGAACACCCTTGGTTAATATCTCAAAGGATTATTAAAAGGATTACATGAAATAATCCACCTAAAGCATGGAGCCAGTGCCTGGGCCAGTGGATGCTTCACCTACGGCAGCTGCTATAGTGACTTCCCCACAGTGCTGAACGTTTGCACCTGCTAATGCGGGGATCGATCCCCAGCTCTGGCTGGCAGGGCCACTCAAGAACTCGGCCATCCTGGTTTCCCAGGCCACAGATCATCTCCCCATCTAAGGTCATTCTCCCACAGTCCTCTTCTGTTGGGAGCTGGGTGACAAAGCCTTCTCCCTTGCCCTTCATCCTCTCCATTGCTGTAGGGATCAGAAAAGATGCAAAGCTGTCAGTGGAGGCAATCTCCTGCCTTCACATAGGCACAGGGCCCTTCTCATCCCCATGAAACAGCTCAGGCCATGGGGCCTGTCACTTTCCTGCTTGTCCTCAGATCCATCCCTCACCCTTCCCTGCTGTGCTGTGTTGCTGGGCCCAGACCTCTGTGGACTGCATTTCCCAGGCTCCCCTGCACCCTGGCTTTCTGGTAAGTTCGGTCAACTGGAGGCACTGGCAGGAGACTGAGCTTGGTAGGAAGAGAGAAGGGGATAATTCTCTAGCCCTTTCTGCTTCAGGTGATGCCTCCAGCAATGGCCAAGTCTCCTCTAGGAACTTCAGTTCCTGATAACACCCTCTCTTCCTTTGTCCCTCCAGCCCTGGGACAGTAGCAGTTTCTTGCAGTTTCTGCTTTCTGGGTTGCTGTACCCTCCCCTGTCTAGGTTTTCAACATTTCCATCACCTTTGCAACTACAGGTGACCCTTGAACAACGTGGGTTTGTACTGCACAGGCTCACTTTTATATGGATTTTTTTCAATAAACCTTTTTTTTGAGATTTGTGACAATTTGAAAAAGCGTTGAAGCATGGTCTAGAAATATCAAGAAAATCCAGAAAAACGTTAGGTGTGTCATGAATACATAAAATATATGCAGATAAGAGTCTATTTTATCATTTACTACCACAAAATATACACAAGTATATTCTAAAAAGTTAAAGTTAATCAAAACTTTAACATACGAACACAGACTGCACATGGTGCCTTTCAGTCAAGAGAAATGGAAATGAATGGAAGGATACAGTATTAAATAACTACGGCACTACTGCGATAGGTTCATAGCTGCCTCTTGTTGCTATTGTGGCAAGCTCCGGCTGCAGACATCCACTTAAACACCATATGATGCTGATCATCACATCAGCAGACGAATAGAGCAGTTCGTCTCTATTGATAAACTACATATTGCAGTGAAAAGTTATCTCTCCTGGTTCTTGTGTATTTTTCTTTGTGTTCAATGCAATACCATAAACCCTGAGTAGCATCATGGGCCCATATGAAGTGCCACTAGTGATGCTGGAGGTTCTCTCTCTTTCATGACATTACAAGAAAGTTGAATTGCTGGATGTTGACCGTAGATTGGGGTCTGCAGCTGAGGTTGTCTGCTATTTCAAAGACAAATGAACCAGCGTAAGAACCATTGCAAAAAACAGAAGGAAATTTGTGAAGCCTTGCTGCCGGCAGGCACGGAAACTTTGCACTTTTTTGCAAAATTGCTTTCATATTGGAAATGCAGCTTTTATGTGGGTGCAGGATTGCTATAAGAAAGCCATACCTGTAGACTTTAATAGGATTCACAAAAAAGCGAAGTCATTTTAGGACAACTTAAAGCAAAAGGCTGTCGGAGGATCTAAAGCTGGGGCATTTAATGATAGCAAAGGATGGTTTGATAATTTTGGAAAGAGGTTTAGCTTAAAACAATGTCAAGATAACAGGAGAAGCAGCTCCCGTGGATCAAGAGGCAGCAGATGAGTTCCCAAATGCCATTAAGAAATGATCATGAAAATCACTGAGGAGAAAGGATGTCTACCTGAACAGTTTTTTAAATGCAGATGAAGGTACCGTATTCTGGAAAAAACGGGCAAAGAACATCTATTAGTAAGGAAGAGAAGTGAGCCCTGGGATTTCAGGCAGGAAGGGATGGGCTAACTCTACTACTTTGTGCAAATGCAGTCAGGTTTATGATTAGGACTGCCCTTATGTATTAAGCTGCTGAACTCCGGTCCTTGAAGAGAAAGGGTAAACAGCAGTTGCCCGTCTTTTGGTTGCACAAGAAGGGCTGTATAAGGAGAACTCTTTTTCTGTGTTGTTTCCTTCAATGCTTTGTTCCTGAAGTCAGTAAGTACCTTGTGAAGTAGGGACTGCCTTTTAAAGTTCTCTTGACCGTGGACAATGCCCCTCGCCACCCAGGACCCCATGAGTTCCACACTGAAGGTGTCAAAGTGGTCTCTTTTCCCTAAATATAATGTCTTCAATTCAGCCTCTAGATCAGAGTCATCAGGACCTTTAAGGTTCAATATACACAGTATTCTACGGAAGGGATTGTCAGTGCCGTGAGACAGAACCCCAGCAGAGAAAATATAATGAAAGTCTGGTAGAATTACACCACTGAAGATGCCGTTGTCATTTTAGAAAAAGCTGTGAAAACCATCAAGCCCCTATCATTAAATTCCTGCTGGAGAAAACCGTGTCTAGATGTGCACGACTTTGCAGGATTTATGAATCAAGAAAAGAGATTGTGACTATGATAAAAAGGTGGGGGTGTGAAGGGTTTCAAGAGACGGATTTTGGAGCAATTCAAGAGCTAACAGACATCACATGAGTGAAATTAACAGAAGACAACTTGATGGAGATAAATGCTTCTGAATCAGAGGCAGACAATGAGAAAGAAGACATGGTAGTGGAGCATCAGAACTTATTAACATTAGTGTCACCGAAGTTGGTATACAAGCCCCCACTGCTAAATTTAACTAGCTTAGGAAAAAAAAGAAGAAAACATAGAAGACACAGTGTGAGAAAACAAATGGACATTAGGCAATCTGGCAGAGGGTTCCAATGAGTTAAGACTGTTGACTGGGCACAGGGACTCATGCCTGTAATCCCGGCGCTTCGGGAGGCTGAGGCAGGTGGATTACCTGAGGTTAGGAGTTCGAAACCAGCCTGATCAATATGGTGAAACCCCATCTCTGCTAATAATACAAAAATTAGCTGGGCGTGGTGACGTGTGCCAGTAGTCTACTTGGGAGACTGAGGCAGGAGAATTCCTTGAACCTGGGAGGTGGAGGTTGCAGTGAGCTGAGATCGAATCACTTCGTGCTAGCCTGGGCGACAGAGCAGGACTCCATCTCAAAAGCACAAAAGACTGTTTCTGACACGCACCCTTCTATGGTTTGGGCACTGAAACTAAAGCCAGTGGCGGAAGAAGGATTGATACTGTACGGAAACGTTTTCAGAGAAATGAGAAAGGAAAAGAGTCAGATAGAAATGATGATGTATTTCCATAAAATCACACCAAGTGTGCCTGCCTCTCCCACCAGCCCCTCCCGCTTCTCCTCCTCTTCTGCCTCTGCCACCCAGAGACAGCTGGACCAACCCTCCCCTTCCTCTTCCTCCTCAGCCCACTCAGCATGGAGACAACCAGGATGAAGACCTTTAGGATGATCCACTCCCACTTACGGAGTAATAAATTTATTTTCTCCTTCATATGATTTTCTTAGTAACATTTTTTTTCTAGCTCACTATATTGTAAGAATACAGTATTAATATTTACAATGTACAAAATACGCATTAATCACCTGTTTACGTTATCAGCAAGGCTTCCAGTCAACAGTAGGCTATTGGTAAACTTCCTGGGGAGTCAAAAGTTATATGTGGATTTTCAACTGTGCCAGGAGTTGATGTCCCTAACCTCCTCATTGTTCAAAGGTCAGCTGCAGTTTTTAGTGTGAATTCGCTATTGAACTACTTGGTTGGGGCTTTCTTTTCCAGGGGCACCCTGACTGCGGCAGCTCCCAGGGTCAGACATCTACGTATATCTGAATGTTCTCACCACGTAACCTCCACATGGCCATAACTTTGCAAAAGAATTTTCATAGGAATTTTTCCAGGGCAACTTGCAGGCTGACTCTGTGTTGGAGGGCAAGTGGCCACACTTCTGTAGTGGACCGTTTGTAAGCAAAAACAGCCATAGTTATTTCCTCCCCTATCATACCTCTTCACAACGAGCCTTTGTGGCTCCTCCCGTCAACAGATGGAGTCTATTTCTCCACCCCTTGAATCCACGCTGGTCTTGCGACTTGGCCAATAGAATGTGGTGCAATCCAGCCCAGGCCTCAAGAGGCTCAGCACACTTCCATTGCTCCCTTGGAAATCTGCCCAGCCTGTGCTCTGAACATGCCTGGGCCAGTCTCCCGGAGGAGGTGAGAATGTAAAGCAGAAGGAGCCATTCCTGCTGAGACCATCGGGACCAGCTAGTGCCCAGCTGAGCTGGCAGCTTGCTCCAGATGCAGAGGCGAGGCCCAGTTGAGGCCACCTGAGCCCAACCCAGATCCAAAGAACCATTCAGACCATCCACAGACTTGTGAGTAAAAGTAAACCATTGTTATCTTTAACCACTACATTTTGAGAAGGTTTATTATACAGCAGTAGCGGATATGCCCCACGTGCGGGTGATGGCAGAAAGTAGAGAATTCCACATTTGCTTCTGTCTCATAACACGTTCTGTGTCCAGGAGTCCCCAGTGGCAACAGGGATTGCCAGGGCAGCAGCAGGAAGTCTGGTCTAGCTGGCTCTGACCTCAGTTGTCAGCTGAGGAAAATGTGAGTAGATGGTTGAGTAATTACATCTGGTCAAGTTTAAGGTGTGGGTGCTGGACACAGTCCTCAGCTCCTGGAGTGATCTGGGTGCCACGGGATCAGCTCAGGGGTAGGAACTCTCCGGGGTGGGGCTGCCCTCTCCCCTCTGCTGCATTTAGTAGAAAAGTGAAGCACAGAAAGGCTGCCAGCTGTCTACCCTCGATTGTCTTTTTCTGATCTTACCAGTTACAGAGCCTCTATTATTAGGCATAGCACAGTCACCTTTCCTGGCCTACCTTATGACAAGAGTGGCCAGTCTAAGCAGAAATCACTGGGTGGGGATCTTGGCCCAGGTAGGAGGCCTCCCTCTTCCCTCTCCTTCCCTTCCCACCTCCCAGTTCCCTCATACTGAGGCGCCATGAGCACACACGTCTGGCAACCACACTCTATCATTCTCTTGCCATCAGTGGCCCCTTGGCCACCCTCAGGTCAAGAGGTACCTTCTAGAAGGGGGTATGTGTGATCATCTGGCTGGGCATGTCCCCTTGGCCTCACCAACTTCTTACTCTGTGGGGAGGACCATGGCCCAGAAGAGCCAGCATGGAGCTTGGTAGGGCCTGAAGCCCAGGCAGGGGCCTCTCTCAGCGGGTCAAAGCCTAGCATGATTGCAGGCTTCCTGGCATCATTGCAGACCTGGCTCTCTGGGGACGCTAGAGTTACCCTGCTTCCCAGTGGACTTATTCCACATTCCTTGGACCATTGGAAGCTCATTCCCCTTTTTCAAGGAAAGACAAGTCACGTCTTTCCAAGTTAACTTCCTATTCCCACCCACTCTGTGATGTAGCTGACAAGGTCTTTCTTTAAAGAAGCAAAAACCCTACGTTGGGTCTCTGCTAAGCATCCTCTGTGGAAGGTGACAGAGGGAAATTTCAGCCCATCTGAGCCTGTCCCCCTCCTCAGTGCTCAAAAATCACAGACCCATGACTTGCCTGCCTGATTCATGCGACCCTGTCCCTGCACCAGTGCCTGTCATCCCTTCCTGTTCGAGACCATCCTGGAGGCCCTCAGCTCCCAGCTGTCCCCTCCCATCCTGGGCCTCTTCTGCTCAGTATGTTATCCAGGAAGCATGGGGCCTATGTTTTTGGCAAACCACTGGGCTGTGGCTAACCTGTGGGAGTGGTGGGGGTGGCTGCGCAGGTGTGTGGGGTTCCCCTCCTCCTCCCAGCCAGCTGGGCTCTCTGGGGGAACAAGTTACATATATATTTATACCAGCAGGGACTGTGGAACCCCCAGCAACAAATACTGATGGCTGAGGACTTTGGGTGCATGTTATCTTCTGAGTTAAACACCTCTCCAGCTGCCTTGAAGGTTGGAAAGCTCAGTCTATAGCTTTAGCTACAAGCCCTTGATGAGTGCTGAAAGGTCTGTTTCCTTGCTGCTAAGAAAACCAAGGCTCAGAGAGGAGCAGGGACTGGATGGACCCAAGCATTCTGACTCTAAGGGCTTTTCTGGGGGCCCAAGTGGGTCTGGTTCATAGACTTCCTCAGGGGAAGTGTGAACTCTGCAAACCGCAGCCTCTCGTAGGGTACAGAGCTGCTCCCGAGGTTTTGGAGGGAGCTTCTAGAAGCCTTCCTAAGTGCTGAGCTCCTGGGCACGGACAGGCTGCTCAGTGCTCAAGGGGACGGGCTGGGCCTCCCAGCCTGTGGTTACAGAGGGAAGTGCTCTGTGGAGCTCACCCCTGAGGTGACACCTGCAGTGTGTGTTCTGGGACTCAGACAAAGGTACCCCTGCTCCTGGAAGGCATCACTGGGAGCTACTCAGAGGAGGAGGCCAGAGACACCATTGTGAGATGATTGTGCCAGGAAGGTTTGCCAAATCCCATTTTCAAAGTGAAGCAGTGAGCCTGTGTGTATCATGTGCATAATGGTTGTGTGCACGTGTGTGTATGTGATGGGTACATGTGCAGGTGCATGTGTGGATATGTATGTGTATGCACATGAGAGGTGTGTGCATGTGTCAGCAATTATGTGTGTGTATGTATGCACGTGCCTCATAGGCAGGTGTGCTTGGGAGGGTGTGTTTGTGTATGTATATTTATGTGTGTCATATGTGTAAGTGTATGTGTCTATTTGTGCACATGAGGTTTGTGAGCATATATGTAAGTGTGTGTTTGGTAAGAATAGCCTAGACTGTGGCATGTGAATGGTGCCTGGTTTTGTCCCCTCCAGGGAAGGAGAGAACAGCCATCTGTATTGGCCAGTCCTCATTCCTGACACCATTCTTTTGCCCCAACTTTTTTTCTGCTAAGCCTTCATCTGGAGCCTGCTACCGTGTAATACTGTCTAAAGATGGTCTGCCCTTCCCAGTATCAAAGCAGTGTATGCTCCTTGTAAATAACTGGGAAATAGGCCAGGTGCAGTGGTTCACACCTGTAATCCCAGCACTTTGGGAGGCCAAGGCAGGAGGATCGCTTGACCCCAGGAGTTCAAGACTAGCCAGGGCAATGTGGCCAAACCAAAAATAGAAAATTAGTCAGTGTGGTGGCATGCACCTATAGTCCCAGCTACTCGGGAGGCTGAAGTGGGAGGATGGTGTGAGCCCAGGAAGCGGAGGTTACGGTGAGCCAAGATGACATCACTGCACTCCAGCCTGGGCGACAAAGCCAGACCCTGTCTCAAAACAAGCAAACCAGAAAACAACAACAAAACCCTCTGGAAAATAGAGAAGCGCACAAAGAAGGAAATGAAAATTGCCCTTAGTCCCCAAACCCAGAGTGCTGGCTGTGGGTTCATAGAATATTCTTCTGCAGCCGGGACTTAAGGAGCTAAGGAGGAGAGGGAAACATGAGCACCAATGTCATCCGAGGGCCCCTGGCCCCATGTGGGCTAAGCCTTGGGAACCTCAAGGCCCCTACGTCCTCATGAAGTTGTTGTTGATTTGTTGGATTCTTCATGATTCACAAGTCCCGGAGGTGACCAGCTTGGCCTGAGAACCGATACAGTGACCTGGGTTTCACTTAGGTCTCCACCAACCTAAAAGTTGCCTCATCTTGGTTGGCTCAGTCACTTAACCTTTCTAAGCCCCAGTTTCCTCATCTCTACAATGGGGTAAATCAATGACCTTGAGGGGCAGTTGTTGGGGGTAGACACTGTACCTGACCTACCTCTGTTTTCTCTCCCTTTTGCTTTCTGCTCTACACTGAGGAGGGTGTCATTGCCAGGGCCTCTGCCCTCTGGCTTCAGATAGGTTTGGCTAAATGAGTAGAAGCCTGGAGGGCAGAGGCGGGGAGAGGTCAGGCTGTCTCTCCCCGCTGTGCTTCAGGGGTGTGTCAGGCAGTGGCCGCCTCTCTGCTGTGGCTCCAGCTCCTGCCAGAGACCCCAGAACCATCAGCTCTGATGACCCCAGCTTGTCCCTTTGTTCCTTCCTGTCTCAGCCCTAGTGATGGTAGCAGTGGCTTCCTGTTGTTACTAAACTCTGGGTGACGTCAACATCCTCATATGGCTCTTCATTAGCACAAAGCTGCAGAGCAAGCTCTCTCTGTTCAACTCCTGGAAGGTCTGGCATGGTTTTGGTTTTGTGCTGGGACCCTGACCCATACAGAAATGACAAACCAGGGCAGTGTCTGGTGCCCAGAGGAGGGTCGGTGTGCAGCACTTGGGTCTAGAGCTGTCGCCCCTCATGGGCTTATGACAACATCGCCGGCTAACCCCTTCCCTGCAAGTGAAGAGCTCAGCTCAGCCCTGCCTTCTCTCTCTCTCTCTCTCAGTACTGACTCAGCAATTTTTGGCATTTAAGCCTATTCCCTTACATGGCCCAGTGTAAGGGAATAGGCTCTGGAAAAGGGAAGCCCTGGGTTTGAACCTAGATTCACTATCACTAGCTGGGTGACCTTCAGCAGGTCATGTCAACTCAGCTGCATTAGCTAAGCTCAGGGGATAAGAAGAGCTAATTCACAGAGATGGTGTTTGCAAAGTTCTGGATACAGAGTAAACTGTCAGGTGTGAGGGCTCACACCTGTAAGCCTAACACTTTGGGAGACTGAGGCAGAGATGGCTGAGACCAGGAATTAGAGACCAGCCTGGGCAAGAAAACAAGATCCCATCACGAAAAAAAAGAAAGAAAAGGAAACGTTAGCTAGGTGCGGTGGTGTGTGCCTGATCTGCTCGAGGGCTGCCCTGCTCCAGAGCTCAGTAATCCCAGCTACTTTGGAGGCTGAGGTGGGAAGATGACTGTAGCCCAGGAGTTGGAGGCTGCCGTGAGCTGTGACTGCACAATTGCACTCCAACCTGGGCAAGAGAGTGAGACCCTGTTCGCAAAAAAGAAAAAAAGGGAAAGAAAAAATGTAAGGTGTCATGTTTGTTGATTGTTGTGATCAATGTTATCACCACAGGCCCTTCTTTCAAGATCGTGGGATGTTTTCGCTTGGATGCGGGCGAGTGGACATAGAAATGGCTCCCTCCTGGTCTTTCCAGTATCTCTTGCCATGAAGAGTGCAAAGACTGCTGGGAAAGGTGGGAAAATTTGCATGGGGCTAAGAATCATGGGAAGAAAAGGGTGGAGACCCAGAACCTTCCCTTTCAATGTTAGCCTGAAAACATCTTGAGGAGATTGAGATCATCACTAAAAGGCTGGAGACCATGATGGAGAGCTGATGGAGTGGAATTTGCCCACACTGGGCCCACAGTTTGGCTTCTTCTACCTGGCATCCCTTTTCCTTTCTTGTTCATCCGGCAAACTTCTATACACCCTTCAAGACCCAACTGAGTTAAGGCTATGGTGACCTTTG